CTCAAGCTGAAGCCAGATGGAATCCTAGATGATGTGCCTCCTCACCCTGCAGCTCTATTACCTGACTGACTTAAGCGTTAGACAGAATGTCCTAGCATTTCAAAGTAGTTAGATGGCATAATCTTTATTCTTAGAGACAAGGGATGCCTGCAGTTTGTATGTGAGGTCCTTGTTTTCTTATCCTGAATTAAAAAAAAAAATCATGTCCAATTTTTTAGTTGAGTTGGGGATTAATGGTCCAAAGGAAAAGTTCTGTTTTTAGAGTCAGAGTGCCTGAATTTTAATTCTTCCTTTGTCATGGGCTATCTGTGTGATCTTGGGCAAGACAGTTAAACTCTCTAAGTTTTGTTTCAAAAAAATTTTTTTTTCTTGCATTTCTTTGTATCCCTATTATTTTGCAAAGTGCCCGGCACATAGTAGGCACTTTATAAATGTTTGTTGACTGACTGGCTCTTTGGGATTTATACGCAAAATGGGGGGTCGAATTAGTTTCCAAAGTCCCTTCTAACCCCAGATGTATGGTTCTATGACTAGATGGCCTCTGAGATTTCTTCCAGCTTTGGGATCTATGATCTAGGTGGAAGAGCCATGATTTTTTGTGAGGAAGGCAGGTGAGCATTTCCTCCTCCAACCCAAGTAACAACCTTTCTGTGATTTTAATAGAGAATTATCAAGGGAACATTGCCATTAAATGACTTGCCTCAAGTAACTAACAAGTCAGAGACAGAGTTTCAGACCAATTCTCCCTGTGTACAAGTCCAGCCCTCACCTTTGGTATAGTGGAAGTAGTCCTGGGTTTAGAGTCAAAAACCTGGGTTCCTGATCCTGGAGGTGACAAAGAACCACAGGAGTTGAATGTGTCTGTGTGTGTGCATGTGTGAGTGCGCACACATGTGTGACATGATTGGACCTGCACTTTAGGACAACCATTTTAGTGACTGAATGGAGAATACATGAAATGGGGAGAGACTGAAGCAGGTTGACCCATCAGCAGCTACTGCAATAATCTAGGCCTGAGGTCATAAAGACCTGTATCAGGGCGGGGGCTGTATCAGAGGAGAAAATGGGTCATATTGGAAAAATGCTGCAGAGGTGAAATCTACAGGAGTTGGTCCAGAGATGAAATCTACAACAGATGTTGTAGAGGTGAAATCCCCAAGAGAGGCTGCAGAGGTGAAATCTACAAGAGATGGGGGCAGAAGTGAAATCCACAAGAGAGGCTGGAGAGGTGAAATCCACAAGTGATGGGGGGGGGGGGTGTGTGAAATCCACAAGAGATGGGGCAGAGGTGAAATCCACAAGAAATATTGTACAGGTGAAATTGACAGGCCTTGGCAACATATATGAAGGTTAAGAAATAGTGAGGATTCTGGTTCTGAGCCTGAGGTACTGAGAAGATGACTTCTCACTGTCTCTTCATGTATCTAATCGGGTTTTTACCTTCACAACTTCTCTCTGACCATGTCACTCCCCCTGAACTCTAGTGGCTTCTTATTGCTTCTAGGATAAAATATAAATTCCTCTGTTTGGTTTTTAAAGCTCTTCACAAGCTAGTACCTGCCCATCTTCCCGGCCTCATTGGACATTCTTCTCCTCAAACCCGTTCTCCAGTCTAAACATCCCTAATTCCTTCACTTGCTCCATAGATGACCTGGATTCCAGGCTTCTTGCCAACCTGGTTGTCCTCCTCTGGCTGGATTCCAGTTTATGCATGTCCTTTCTAAGCTGTGGTGGCTAGAACTGAACTGCAGACTTCAAAAGTGGGGCAGATATGGAACTTTGATAAGGGCAGCACAAAGGGACTATGCCTCCTTTTCCCTCTGGCTGTTAATCTGTATTTAACAAATCAAACCTAAATTAAATGAGTTTTTGTTTGTATGGGGCCTGTGATTAGCTTTTTTCCTGCTTCTGTGGTTATGACTGTTAATAGTGTGTGTGTGTGTGTGTGTGTGTGTGTGTGTGTGTGTGTGTGTGAAGACCCTCATCCCTGCCCTTAATGCTTGAAAGAAGAGATTATCCTGGATCCTTTACATAGGCTCATAAATTTAGGACTAGAAGGGACCTTAGAAGCCATTCCACCCCCCTCATTTTACAGAGGGGGAAACTGAAGCTGAGACTCAGGGTGACCCAGTTAGTGTATGTAGGAATCAACCTAGGTCATTCTCACTTCAAATACACCACCCTGTCCACTACCCCGAACTGCTTCCCCCTCACCAGCCCTCTGCCTCCCAAGTTTTCCTTTGAAAAGTGTGGGAGATTCACACCTACTGCATCCTGCCTGGGACAGGGTTATCCCATGTAAAGCTTGGCTCTGTAATGAGTTAGAAAGGCAAGCAGGATTCAGCCATCCGTCTAGCAGAAGTGGGCAAAGGACTCTGGGTACTTGCAGGAGAAAAAAGCCAAAGCTTCCCTCCCACGGTGGCTTCCTTTTTTAGCCTCTGCAGCCCTAACCGCCCCTCTGAGCTCAGTGGCCGGATGAAACGGCCTCATCCCCCAGGCCTCAGGAGCTAACTCGGTGACCACACATAGGCCAGGGACAGACTCCGGGGAGCTGGTCACTGGGTCGGACATCAAAGGGCAGCGGAAAGAACAGTTAAGTAGGCTTCTGGAAGAGGGAGGGCTGGGGGAAGGCTGGCTGCAGAAGCATGTTTGTTGCTAGGCCAAGACCAATCTCCTGATAGAAGTGTGGTCGACATCTGGCCGGGGCAGCCCCTTGCCCCGACATGAGGATTTGGACCATATCCCCATCTCTCAGAAACCAATGTTTGACATGGGCCTGGCCCTCCCCTAATCTCTGCTCTGGTGGCAAGTTAATATATTTTTTATAACAGATCTTCTCCAATGTCCTCATTCAAGAAAAACAAAGAGACAAATACATGGATACTTCTGTGAAGTTGAATAAATCTGTTTTTATATCTAGGATATGACTTTTTTGGGGGGGAGGAGGGGCATCCAGACCAGTGATTTCCCCATTGTAAAGCACTCCAGGTGAGGACATGTAGGGAACTCTTCTGTAACTTAGTCTTAGAGCAGGAATTCTTGACTTGGATTCCATGGGGGTCGAGGGATCGATTTTTTTGTGGGGGGGGGCTGTGAACTTGGATGAGGAAAAAACTATCTTTGACTTAGTAATCCCATGCCTTGAATTTTCTGCAGGGTTAGAATTAGACTCACAGCCAGAGGGCTATAAAACACAAAGTTTGTGAAGTCAGGTCTTAGAGAGAAACCTGAGGCAACCAAAGGGTTCAATAATTTGCACAGGGGCAAAGGCAGAACTTGAACCCAGATCATCCTGCCTTTGATGTCAGCTCTCTATTTATTCACTACTCCAGGCTGCCACCTCTCTATTTATTCACTACTCCAGGCTGCCACCTAGATCCCTGTTTAGTGGATGGTGGAGCACTGGATAGAACTCTGGGCTTGGAATCAGGAAGACACATATGCCTCAGACACTCACAAGCTGTGTGACCCTGGGCAAGTCATTTAACACTGTTTGCCTCAGTTTCCTTATCTGTAAAATGAACTAGAGAAGGAGATGGCAAAATTACTCCAGTATCTTTGCCAAGAAAACCCCAAATAAAGTTATGAAGAGTTAGACAGGATTGAAAAACGACTGAACAAAATGGACATTTAACATATTTGGTTTGTCAAGGGTGCTCTCCAATAGTGGAGATTTCTGTTACAGCATTAGTGGTACTGGCTTAAGTAGCAGGGAAGGTCAATCAGTCAACAAGAATTTTTTAAACACCTATTGTTTTGGGCACTATAGTAAGTGCTGATGATAAAAAAAAAAAAAAAAAAAGGAAAACACGCCCCCTGCCTTCAAGTTACTCCTAGTCTAATGGAGGAGACAACATGCAAATAACTATGTATGAAACAGATACAGACAGAGTAAAGGGAAGGTAATCACGGAGGGAAGAGTCTGATGGTATGAGAAAGGGGGGCAGGGGAGGAAAGGTCAAGGATGGGATCTTGACTTCATTCCTATTGGGAACTCCAGTAAGAGACATCCTTCTGCTAATGTAAGCCTGCATATTTTCTACAGCTTATGGTTAAGTTTTCCTTTTTTTTTTCTGGTAGATTTAAAAGCTTGTTATTTGGGAAAAAAGTAAAATTTAATTTAAAAAATGTTTACCCCAACCCTTATAGTCCTAGAGCGTTGTCTGGGGCACTTGGGGGTTATGTGACTTGATCAGGGTCAGATAGCCAGGATGTGTCGGGGCGTGGGACTTGAACCCTTGGTCAGGGACTCCTGACTCCAAGGCCAGTTAGCCACCCCTTTATGAAGTATATCTGCTGTCTCTCCAAAATTATTTGCAGCAGCACTTTGTGGAAGCAAAAAACTGGAAATAAAGAGGGTGCCCATTGCCTGGAGAATGGTTGAATAAGTTCTGGCACAGGAATGTCATTTCTGCACTGTAAGAAACTAATAGGAGGAATTCAGATAAATGTGGGAAGACTTCTAAGCGCTGATGCTCAGTAGTAGAACCAGTAGAACTATTGTTGTTGTTCAGTTGTTTTCAGTTGCGTCTGACTCTTCATGACCCCATTTGGGGTTTTCTTGGTAGAGATACTGGAGTGGTTTATCATTTCCTTCTCCAGTTCATTTCACAGGTGAGGAAACTGACGCAAACAGGATTAAGTGACTTGCCCAGGGTTACACTGGGCTGGTAAGCATCTGAGGGAGAATCCAAATTCAGGTCTTACTGATTCCACGCCCACCCCACTCTGTCCACTGCTCCACCTAGCTGCCTCAATGGTGGTTAGAAACTGACAGACCTGGAGTCAGGAGGCCCTGAGTTCAAATCCTGCCTCATAGACTTTCTAGATATATGATCCTAGACAAATCATTTAATCTTTCTCAACCTCAGTTTCCTCATCTGTAAAAAAGGCAGTTTTAGCCTCTAAAATCTCTTCTATCTCTCAGTCTATGATACTACGAGCTTGGGGGGTGGGGAATCCCATAATCTAAGCAAGAATAAAAAAACAACACAGCTCAATGACTTTTCAGACCCAAAGGCCATTTAATACCATAAACTCTACTTGAGTAGTTTAGCAAAAATAAAAAAATATCTACACCATACAAGACTGGTTAGTACTGGATACACACGATTTGGTTTGAAAGCTGCAACACTCCTTGTGGATGTGGATTTTCTCCACAATGTGTTACGTTGCACTAGGCTATACCCAATGAGGGACACGGATTTATTGACGACATAAATATTAACTGAACAGGCTACTGAGGCTATAAATAGAAAAACAAACATGGTCTTGGTCTAGGAGTAAAAGGCCTATGAAATCAGCCTAGCATGGAGTTCAAAGGATATTTAATATCATCCTATTACCTAGAACAGAAACAAGGTTCAAATATCCACTTGGCGTAGTCCCATCTAGTCCAGACGGTTCCCTAGCAAGAACGGCCCCCACATGTGAGGTTTCCTAACCACCCACTACACATGTGACGAGTCATCCACAGTCACAGAATGTGTCATACTAGAGCTCTGCCTTCCTGCCCCCCCACCCCCCAGCTACCATGCGAAGGAAAGTTTACAAGTGTCGGTGACACCACGCCCAGAGACCCTGCGTGAGGAAAAGCGCCAGGCTGCTTTTGTAAATGCGTCCCTCTCCAATGTGCTCCCTGCCCGTGGCGGGATCCTCTCCTGTCTGTCCTGTCGGAACCTCTACTCCTGAGCCTCTTTGCGAGTCAACTTGTAGACTTCGGTGGGTCCGTCCACGTGTGTTATGGTTGTCGTGAGCTGTAGTTCTTCTGCGCTGTGAATGCCCAGATCGCCTGAAACACAGGTCTGGGAGTTAGACTCAGGGTGGGACAAACAACAATAACAATTAACAACAATCACTCAGGTGCTCAAAGAAAACCTCACAAAATATATTTTTTAAAAAATGAACTTTTGTCCCAAGGCATGTACAGAAACAGTAACACTCTTACTTGTTTAAAAAGAAAAGGGGGCCAACGGATGTTTTCAGAGCATGTGGTCAAAAGATTACACAAAGACTTTAGGAACAAAAAGACGTCATTCCATAAAGCAATATTTAAGCCTGAGAGTGTACACACATCACTGGATTTACCCAGATGGAGCCTATGAAGTGGTTAAGATTCAAACCAATGGCCCTGCATGGACGACAGCCACGTGAACTCAACCATGTGCCAACATGAAGTGTCAAAGAAATGGATGAGTTATGGGGACTTGGGTATTAAAATGGCCATAAGAGACAGGGGAATTGCTACCAGAAATTACCGAGAGGTCATCCTCAGGAGCCTGGACATACCAACCAATAAGGAAACGGTTGGTTGGTTGTTCTTCATTCTCGAAGAAGACCAGAATGACATCACTATGTTGGAGTCAAGGTACAGCATGTCTGACTATGGCTGATCAAATCAATACAAGCTTGAAAGGCTCTACCATAGGTCAGGCACAAATAGTCCACATGAACATTTAGAATAGAGCTGTCTCTAAATTTGTGCATCTCATCTTTCTTTTGAGCTACTGCAAGGAAACAGTAGAAATTACAGAATATATCCCATCAAGACGCACAAATTTAACACCTACTGAATACTTACGAAGACAATCTAGTGGTCAAAATGACGCATTAGAAGCTCCTTATTCTTCATAAACAGATACAGTCCTGTATCACAAATAGAGACTCCAAAATATCCTTGAAAATTTAAGAAAATATTTTTTCTGGAACTGGAGAATCATCATAGACAAAACCATGGTAAACAACTGCTCAGATACAGCCCTGAACCACACAAATTTAAGAACCATGTTTTTTTAATAGATGTCCACATACTAAATACTCAAAATCTCGAAACTACATGGGAGAAAAAGCTTTTAAAATATAGAGACCAAGAGGAAGAAATCAAAACCATGAGGGACAGGATGAAGGACAATTCATTGCCATCATTCTGCCAGCTAATGGACTTGTGCCAAAGATATTTTCAGTGACCCTAAAGAAGATAAATTTATATTCCCAATGTATTTAACAGCATCACCATAATTTCCTCCAGTATTCCCTCTGATCTCCCCAAAGAACAATCCCATTTAACAAATAGTATTTTTTTTAATTTTTAAAAGAAAAAAAAGGAGGAAACAATCAGCATAAATGATCAACACATTGAAAAAATTTGAAAACACAGTGTCAACTCTGGGGATATCCTGTATGTGCAATGAAGAAAACTTGAGGGCTCCTCACTTCTGCAAAGTGGTAGGGGTGGGGTGTGGAGTCTTCTCCTATCTCCTCTTTCAGACCAGGTTTGTTCTTTGTAATTTCTGCAACATCCTCTTTTGATTTTTTTTTTTTTTTTTGGTGGTTGTTCTTTCTGTTTACCTTGTTTTCGACACTGCATTGTTTTCTTGGTTCTGATGACTTCTCTCTGCATCAGTTCACAGAGATCTTTCCAGCCTTCTCTGTGTTCATCATGCTCATCATTTCTTATAGCACAGTCATATTCCATTCTATGTTGATACCACAATTTGCTCAACCATTCCCCAACTGATGGGGCTCTCTTATGTTTCCAATACTATGCTATCACAAAAAGTGCTACTAGAAGCTCTCTGAGTTTCTGCTGCACCAAAATGCTTAACAAAGGTTTCTTGTGTTGAAGTCACTGGGCCCAATTCAAGTCCACACAGTTTGGGATGAGAATAAAAGATCGAGGACAATCTATTGTTTTCCCTCCACTTCTTTCTGCCCCCCATTCTGAATCTACTATTAATTTCAAAAAAGCACTAGCATCTGTCGTGATGTATCAACTGTTGTTCGTCCTTCATTCTCAAGGAGGACCAATGGCGTCTTGAGGGAGATGTCTTGGCTTGTACATGAATTGGATTTAAGTGAGGCAGAGTTGCACAAAGGTGTCAGCTTCCCTCTCCCCTAGAGTCATGGAAGTCCAGTGGTAGGACAAAAGTCAAGACAACTGGCACCAAAGCCCTGGTTGAGAAGAACTAGTGACTTTCAGATGCCATCATCACATTTGAGAATTTTCCCTCAGCAGCAAAGAGCTTAAAGGCATTCTTCCTCTATCAATTGCCCCAAAAACATGGTTTTGGCCATTTCTAGCTATTTCTCAAGTAATCAAGAGTCAGGCTAAACGGCCGAGGTCCCTTGCAACTGTGAAATGTTGGGATAGTCTCATTCTGGTAGCCACAGAAATTCAGAAAATCTTCTAGCATAGCATGGAAGGATTGTTGTCTATGTTGGGACAGAAAGTACCCATGGCCTTGGAGGCATTGTCCTATTGGGGTACAGATAATGGTGGAAAATGATTCCCTCTATTTTCCTATAGAAATTGTGTAGAATTATTTAAAGCATTTTTCCTATGTATTGAGTCAAGGCCCTGTGTGATGAATGTCTTCTAAGATCTCTGATTACATCTCTGGGCAAAACTCTTCCCCACTCCCTACTCACCCCAGAGATATGTTTCTGTAATTTGATTGATCACTCCAGAATGAAGTGCTAAATTCTAGGATAGAGAACGGCGGAGTGAGCACCATCTTGCACTGGGACATCAACCTTCCATGAGTGTCACCAAAGATGATACCAGCTTTTCTAGTGGCTCGCTCAGTCTGATGGCTCAAGTTAAGTTTGGGGTCAACTAATCTCTTCTGGATCAGACCAGTCTGCATCATTGATAACTGTTCTTGGACTCTAGGAGAGAGAAGGGAACCCAGGCAGAGATCATCTGGCCCAATTTATGTAGGAACAGAATTCCCATCTCCAACACTCTTGACAAGTGGTCATCTGGAAATCTCCAACAGGGAAACCCACTCTCTCAAGCCAAGGCAGCCCATTTCGGTCTTGGAGAGTGCTGAATATTGGCCAGTCTTTCCTTACTTCACGTGAAAATCTGCCTCACTGACATTCTAGCTAGAGACAGGATTCTAGCTAGGGCAGGAACTGAATGTAAGACTTTCTGACTTACAGGTCAAGCTGAGATCCATTACACTGAGCTACTCTTCCATAGAGAATTTAGGGATAACATTATCTTGAAAAAAGATTTCAGAGAATTCTGCTGCTGTCTCCCCCTCCCTCCAGGTCTCAGCTTCCAGCTTCACATTCCAGATCTGCCACTAACTACCAGTACGGCCTTCAGAGAGTCATTGAATGTTTAGGGTTCGGTTTTCTCATCTATAAAATGAGAGCAGTGGGCTGAATGACCTCTACAGCCCCTATCAGCTCTAAATTTAGGATTCTCTGACCTTCCTTTCCCTGATGAAGGCCTGCTCCCCGACTCATCTCTTTCAGAATCTCCTAATTAATGTGCTGGCTATCACCTCTCCCTCTCCCTCCCCTCCTCTCTCTCTCTCCCTCCCCCTCCTCTC